AATGACATCATCCAGTTTTCTAAAACTTAAAAATGAATCTTCACAATTAGATATTGTTGATTACACTGTTAGGTCATTAATTTCATTCAGTAAAGGATTTGTATATTCATGTGGAGTAGGATATGTGCATCTATTTGAAAAAGATAGAAATAAATATAAAAAAAGAAATGTTTTCGTTGTTAAAGATGTAGTTTGTGATTTTCACAGTCCAAAAATAAATACTGTCACTCATTTATCTGTAAATTTATCACAAGATAAACTTCTGGCCACGACAAAAAGAGCTCAAATGTATGTGGTCAGATTATGGGGTCCTGATCTTAATGTCGTATGTACAGTTAATGTCATATTTGTAAGTTATTAAATTTAAATATATTTAAAAAAATTTTATTTTTAATAGGCACCTCAAATACCTTTTAAACACATTGGAGAACCTCAGCATCATGGATCTATAAATGGATTAGCAACATGCATTTGGAAACCCATATTTGCCACTAGTGGAAAATTCGATAAGACAGTTCAAATATGGAACTTTGAAACTGAATCAGTTTTAATAGTGAAGCGTTTTTCTGAAAAGGTTTGCTGCATTGATTTACATCCTACAGGTAAGTGAAAGAAATACTTAAAAAAATACAGAAATATATAAAAAAAGTAATAAAATCATTATTATTATTATTATTATTTGCATTAAAGGAACTTTTATTGCAATCGGATTTCCGAGCAAACTTGAAATATGTTTAATACTAATTGATGATATTCAAACGGGACGTACTATACCCTTTAATCAGTGTTCTATTTGCACATACAGCTTTCACGGTAATTTCATAGCTGCGGTCAGTGGAAGCGTAATAGAAATTTATAGTACAGTCATGTATACAAATACTTATACCTTAAAGGGACACACTGGTGAAGTTAGTACCTAAACATCTTTTATAAAAAAATTATGAATTATTCATTCATGTTTAAGGTATATTTTTTTTTTGTTCTTAGGTTAACGAAGTTAACTGGACACTCGATAATAAAAAACTAGTTTCTTGCGGAGCTGATGGTTTAATTTTATTTTGGGATATGAACAAAGGAGAACTTGTTCATCAAGTCGAAACACCGGGAGTTTCTTATTTAGACATTGCTTTGTCCGCTGATGGAAAGTTTACCTACGCAGTGGGTGATGATGGTTTAATAAAAGAAATATCAGAAGGAATTGTAATTTTGTTTTGTATTTTATTCAAAAGAATTATTTTCTCTTATATCCCAAGAGGGAAGAACAATTATAATTTTTTTATTTATTTAATTAAGATAATAAAAACAATAGAAATGAATCAAAGCGTAATAAATAACATAGCAATATCACGATCCAACTTTTTAATGTTTGTTTCTGCGGGGACATGCGAAATAATGTCTGTTAAAATGCCATTGACTAATCCTCCAGAATACGTATTGCATCCTTTTCATGCTACAACAATAACTGAGGTTGTGTAAAATTTTTATTATTTTACCTACGATCATTTATATTTATTATAATTTAAAATATATTATTATTATTATTATTTCAGATAAAAATAACATCCGACGATTTAAGATTGATCAGTGTATCCGATGGTGGTTTTGTAATAATATGGAAAATAAATTTATCCGAAGATAAAACCGTTGCTATCGAGAAAAATTTTGTTTACTCGACGGAAGTATTAATCAGCAAATCTCAACTGGAACAACATATATCAATGATGAAAGATTTATCACAGAAGCTGTACGAAATGGAAATGGGACAAGCAAGAGAAACGCGGGATACGGAAAGTAAATACTGTGAAAGCATTAAAGAGCTCCACGAAAATTATTCAATACTTATTGAAGAGTTAAAAGAAAAAATTGAAGAAACGGAAACAAGTCAAAAAAAACAATTGCTTAGTATGAAAAAAGAAATTGATGATCTCATAGAAAATCATAAAATAGAAAAACAACAAATGATTGAAAATTATTCATCGAAATTATTGGTGGAATATAAAAAAGTTGAACTTTTGGATAAGTTAAAACAGGAAACAATAAAAAATTTCGATGAAATGTTGGATGAATTGGTTCGGTGCAAAGAAGAAGAATCAAACGAAATAATTCAATTTTACGAAAAAAAATTGTTGGATATGGAAAATGAATTAAAAGCGGTAATAAGGGAAAAGTTTTTTTTTTTTTTTTTATTCAAATTCATTGATTTTGATTAAAAAAAAATTTTTTTTTATTTAGTCTCACGAAGAAAATATAAAAAATATAGAAGAACATGAAATTGACAAACAATATTTAGAAGATGATGCCGATCGTGAATTGGTTGAAACAAAAGCAAAATACGAATTAATTCTTAAAAAAGAAAAAGAACTTAATTCGACGCTCAAAGATGAAGCTGTTCAAATGAAAAAAAAATTTGCCGAAGCACAAAAGGAAAAAGTTGATTTTCTCGTTAAATTGGAATTGCTTCAAGTCGAACAACAAAAATTACAATTAAACATTCACGGATTGGAAAAAGACATATCGGATTTAAAATCGGAAATTGTCGAAAGGGATTCGGCACTTAAAGAAAAAGACGAAAGAATATTTCTTTTGAGAAAAAAAATGCAAGAAATGGAAAAATATAAATTTGTTCTAGATTATAAAATAAAAGAACTTAAAAATCAAATCGATCCAAAAGATAGAGAAATAAGAGAAAAAAAAGAAGAAATGGTCGATGTATGTGCTTTTTCTCTTATTTTCTTTTATTAAAAATTATTTATTATTAATTATTATTATTATTTTAATTTTTTTATCCCCCCGAATTTAAAGATGGAAACGGAATTGGCAAATTTAAAAAGAATAAATAAATCATTGGAATTGCAAGTGTCAGAATTAAGAGAAAAAATTAATGGAACTGAAAAAGAAGTTAATTTTTATGAGAAAAAAAATAATTATAGTAATTCAACATTGAAACAAATTAAAATCGATATTTATTCTTTATATCAAGATTTGGGAGATTTTAAAACACTCAAAGATGGAATGATGGTATTTTAATTTGCAATTATTTTTAAAATAAATGACAATTTATTATTATTATTATTATTTTTTTTTTTAAATAGAAATTATATCACAAATACTATCAGGATGATGTTGTTGTCGAAAAGGATCGTCACGGTGATACAGATTCTCAAAGAGAATTTTTAAGACAAATTGAATTTCTAGAAAAGACGATAACTTCATTAAGAAGTACTCTGCGGAAAAATCAACAAAACAAAGCCGATAATCGTAAAGTTTTAAAGGTATTTCGATGGGATTTTTCAAACGTGTAAAAATTTCACTTTATTTTTACAAAAAAAAAAAAAAATTTTTTTTTCCAGGATAATGTCGTTCTGTTGGAAGAACTTAATTTAGTTAGAAAACAATTGACGGAGACAACGGAGACGGTGAGAAATTTAGAAAAATTAATCGGAGTTAAGAAAAAGAAAAGCGTTGCTCCCAGCGAAGCTCTTCACAGGATAAAACAAGTTATTACGAAAAAAGACGAGATGAAAGGCAATTATGATAACGTTATAAAAGATGCCGAAAGACAAACGGAAACTTTTAATTTTAAAATTAAACACGAAGAAGAAAAATCTTCGAGTATATCTTTGGCTCGTCTTCCCGAAGCTTAGGAGACATTAAAACTTCTTTTCTTCTTTTTTTTTTTTATTTATTTCTAGAATTTTTTAAGGTAAAATATACATTTCATTTAAGTGTAAACACATAAAAAAAAAAAACCACAAAATTTCTTATAAAAAATTTAATTTAAATGATACTTATAAAAAAAAAGAGGTTTTACATATTTCATGTTAATAAATTTTTTTAATTCTTTTCAGGTTTAATACAAAAAAAAAAAAAAAAAAAAAAGGAAATTTTTAACAAATTTACATAAAAAAAAAAAAAAAAACAATACAGTTTTTAATATTTAAAACAACAAAGCATTTTGCTAATCAACAAAATTTAAAAAAAAAAAAAAAAAATGTTAAAAATGCATAAGTTTTTTTAAAAGGTGGTTATGTTGTTCGATATCTTTTAATAAAACATCCGCCATTATTTCCGGGGTTATATCTTCTTTTAAAAAATCATTTATCATTTGTCTCGCGGGTTTTCCACCTCCGTGTTTTAAACATTTTTGCCTATATTTTTCTCCTTGCTCTCTACTAAATGGATTTTCTTTAAAATAATTTTGCCATATCGACGATGCTATTGAAGTGGATAAAAGATAAGAATAATATTTTGCACCGTAACCTACCAAATGAGAAAACCTTAATTGCCAAGCCGTGTTTGGTACAGGTTCTAAAACTGAGTACTCTTGTTGAATGTTATAATAGATTTCTGAAGAACTTGAACCCAACGGGTGTTTTCCATGAAGCCTTTGATCTAAGGCAGAGTAAAGTACCTGTTTATGAGTTTCGGTTGCACATAGCAAATGTTTTGCATCGCAAAATTTATTCACCATGTCGTCACTTAATGATTCTTTCGTTTGAAAATGTTTGGCAAATGTTTTCAGGACTCGAGGATCAAATACAAAATATTCCATTAGTATACTGGGTACTTCAGCGAAATCTGTACAACACCTTGTGCCAGTGACGTGTTGATGTTTGGTTCGAGCTAACATTGAATGTAAAGCATGACCCATTTCATGAGCAACATTACTTAATTGACTAGAAGTTAATAAACAAGGTGAAGACCACTGGGGAACAGGCAAATTCAACATGATCACTACTATTGGATTTTGATATGATCCGTCACTAAGTTCTCGACCTCCTCTAATCATAAAATGACAATCTTGATTGGGTTTATCAGTCCTTTGGTAAAAATCACAAAATATGTGTCCCAACAATCCTTCAGTTTCATGAACCACCGCCAACTTATATATATCTGGAGACCAAATTTCATTAGGAGTTGTTTCTACACAAATCAAACTTATACCAAAAAGATTTTCTGTTAAGTTATTAATTCCTTCCATGCAAGCTCCTAGAGAGAAATAAGAATTTATTTCGTTAAGTTCGACTTTCATATGATTCTCGACTACTTGATTCCTGTAATATGCCACATCCCAAAGTTTTATTTTATCACTTGATGGATTTTCAGATTTTTTTAATTTGAGTAAATAACTTAAATCTTTTTTAGCTAAGGGTTTTAAATCTTCATTTAATTTATTTAAAAAAGAGTTTACAAACTCTGGAGTGTCTGCAACAGTGCCTTTAATTGCTCTATGTGAATATGTTGGAAAACCGCAAGTAATTGCTAGATTATGTCGAACTTTTAATAATTCATTTAATAAAAACTCTTGATGAGCATCCGGATATAAATAAAATTTGTAAGCAATTTCCCTTGATAATTCATTCGGGGAATCTGCAAACAGACCATTGATAATAATATTTCCATTATCACTGTAAAAATAATGACGAACAGATTTTGGCACTAAATTAGCTGCAATCGATTTTGGAGATTCAGCTTGCCTCATAAAAAATTGACCTAAATTTAAAGCACTTTCATTTAATTTAACAACTTCTTCTCTTTTACTTTTAGGTAAATGTATTCCAGATTGTTCAAAATCAAATAAAAAAAGCTTTGAGACATGATTATCAACATCTGTAGTGGGTATGACATCTCCATTTTCAACAACATATTTTAATGAATTATACAAAGGTCTATTGGTATTTAATTTTTCAACTACACCATTTATTTTTGCAGAAGCTGAATCTGCTGCAATTCTGAACTGAGGATCAGGATGAGCTATTCTAATAAACTCTGCCAAATCAGCTACTTGACACAAGGTGTCGGATAAATCATCAAATATGTCAACTATTTTCCTAGATCTCTCAGGAGATAAAACTTCAGCTATAAGTTCATCAGCTTTGGTACATGCTTCTTTTTGAAATAAATCAAACCCATCAGGAGATGACAATAAATCCACACCAAATAAAGCTGTGTCTTTTGACAAACCAAAACTAAATTTTTTATTCGGAAGTGTATTGAATGCTACTCCTAAAGGAGACCAAGTTGATACATAATTTCCCGATATTTTCAATAAATTTTTTCTATAAAATTTTTTCATAATACTCCTTGAAAACATTGTAATCTGAAATAAACATTCTTTTTAAAAAAAAAAATTCTTAAAACCAAGATTTCTTTAGTAAATATGCCAAAAAAATAAATAAATCGTTTTACTTTGAAATAGAGTAAAGCAAGGCATTTATTGTAATATATTAATTAAAATTTTTTTCATTGTGTTTAATATAATTCGTTAATATGTTTCTGTTTACATATTTCTAATATAAATTAAAGATAAGTAGATAACGTAAAATTTCAATAGCAAACAAAAGTTTTAAAAAAACTTCGCTCGTACACAATGAATCGATTTCTTTAGGTATAAATAATTAAATTCTTTTTAAAATTAATACTTCAGATATTAAATTATAGAAATCATCAATTCATAAGTAAATAAAATTTAAATTTATATTTACATCATAATTTGCGGCACTAACGTTTATAGTAAATTGAGGAACTCTGACAAGAAATATAATTAACACTGTTTAACCAAAATTTAAATACCCCTAATTTACTAATATTTCTATTAATGAAATTTTTAATAATTAATTAAATTCTATTTCAGCTGTATATCCATTTAAATAATAACTATTGTACCGCTGATAGGGTACAAAAAAAAAAATTAATATAAATAGTAAAAGGCGGTGATAAATTATAAAAAATATAATTTCGTATTGATTAGAAAGCACCTGATTTTTGTAAACAACAAAATGTCCGATTTCATTGCTGGTTCATCTAGTGATAATCCAGTAATTTCTGATGATAATAGTGAAAAGTTAAATGAAATTATAGATCCCGAAGTTAAAAAAATTAAATTATCTTTGAATGTTGGAAAAAGTGAAAAACTTGAACAAAGACTTGAAGGAATATTATGTTGCGTAGTTTGTTTAGATTTGCCCGTTGCGGCAGTTTACCAGGTAAAGCAAGTTATTAGCTTTTAACTCTTTGGACTTGATTTAAAAATGGGATTTTAAAAAAATTTTTCCAGTAATTAACATTATTTTTGTGTAAAACAATTCAAGTGAAAATTTTAGTACTATCTTAATTATTTTACAGTGCAGCAATGGTCATTTAATGTGTGCCGGTTGTATAACTCATCTTTTAGCTGATGCAAGGTTGAGAGATGAATTAGCTACTTGTCCAACATGCAGAGTTGAATTTTCAAAGCAATCTGCTTCTAGAAATTTAGCTGTGGAAAAAGCAGTTAGTGAGTTGCCTGTTCAATGTCATTTTTGTGCTAAGGAATTTCCAAGAAATGCTTTGGAAATTCATGAAAAAAATAATTGTGAAAAAAGGTGATTTTTAAATTTTTATAATAAAACACAAATTATTGCTATTGCAAAGATGTTAAGTCTATATTCATACTTTTTTTTTTAAAAAATATTTTTATAATTATCTTGTTAAAATATCTTGCAATAGTATGAATAAAAAAAATCATTAATAAAAAAATTTTGACTTATAGAATATAACTGTAAATAAATTATAGACTAACTTCATGCAAATATAACCAAATAGGATGTTTATGGAAGGGACCAAATTATGAATACCTTCAGCATGAAAATGTTTGTATTTATCCTAATAAATCTGGATTAGAAATTATAGAAGCTTTAAAAATCTTAGAAAAGAAAAATGAAGAAGAAAAAAAATTTTACGATGGAATTTTTGAACTTTTATCTTTTGAAAAAATATCCATAAGTGGTAAGTAAATTTATTTTCAATTTTTTTTTTCATAATTTAATTATTTTAAAAGTTTTGATTAATTTAATTTTATTCTATCTTTTCAGATTTGCAGATGAAACCATATAGGACAGATGAATTTTTTCACAAGCTCTATTATGAAACTAATAGATTTTCTGCATTCAATTATCAATGGGTGGTTAAAGCAAGAATAAATAATTTTCAATCAAATCCAACTCATAGTTCTGAAAGGGATATGACATACCAGGTAATATATATTTTTCATGACTTAAACTTTTTAAAGGTAAGTAACGTTAAAATTACATTCAATCCATAACCTCATCTTTTTTCCTATTTCTGAAATCCTTTCCTGTTTTTTTTGTTTTCCTGCAGGAAAGATTTGAAAAGGATTCTCTAATTAAATCAAGATTTTGGTTTATTAAGGTCATAATAAGGTGAATATTTTATTAGAAAAAAAAAAAAAACATTAAAATAAGTTTTTTCACTTACCGCTAAGTTCCTCTTCTATTCTGGGAGTGCTACCATTTTTTTTCTTTTAAAAAAATATCATAAAATATGTGTAATTTATTAATGTAATAATGATATTGATGATATCATTATATAGATATCTCTAATTGAAAAATTTTATTTAAATTAATTTATTAATTTGTGTTGAGAAAACTTTCGTACTTTAAGCTAAAATATTAAATTTTTACAAAGTAAATTGAACAAAAGATATTTTAGTTAAAAACTAATTATTTAATATTTAATAAAACTTTCCTTTGATTTAGTTAATATTGAAAAACAAACCAAATTATCAACTGACAATCCATTATCTAATTGTAAAGGGACCATTTAGTGATATGAAAGTCAAGCCAAAGGTTTATAAATATGATTTTACCAATGAAGAAAGCGAAAGCTCTTATGTTCATCTTCCATTAGAAGACACCAGCGAATGCAATAGGTTGCTAGCAGCTAAAACTATAAATTTTCGGTAAGTTAATTTTTATTTTACTTTCTTAATAAACTTGTCATTAACATTAATTATGTATATGTATATTAATATGTATTAACGTGTTTATACATATAATACGTTTAAAATCGTTAAGTTATGTATTAAACATACTTTTCAGACTCCTTATGTTCTTGGTATCGAAATAATTAGCTTTTAATTTCGAAAAAGTTTATGGTGGAAAACAAAAAACTTTTCCCAATAATCGTGATATTATCAAAGTTTCATTTATCTATTAAACAACGTCTTACGGTATTAGTTAATGTATTTCTTTATTTTTTGTTCTAAAAATAATTATAGAACACAAAGTCTGCATAACTAATGCAAATTTATTTCTCAAAGGCATTTATGAAGCAAAATTGCTTTTGGGTAAAAATAGTTTTAAATATAGTTAAATTGTTTTAATTGATTATAGAAAAAAAGAATATTATTAAAACGAATAAAATGTATTTAATAGTAAATATATTTTTAATGTAAAACTTTTTATTTTTTTATTTTCGAATTCTCTTAAAATAAAATTATTCATCAGGGCTTAATTTGGATAAAATTTTTTTAAATTAATCTTTGAATTATTTTCTGATGGTAAAGACATTAAATAACAGAAATTAATTTTAAAATTTAACTGTGAAATGAATGAATGCAATATTTTGTTTTATTTTGTAATGTGTTCTCATATAGGAAATGATTTGATATGAAAAAGTAATGAATCGTTAAAACAATTTTTTTTTTTAATTTAGTATAAATTTTTATAATTAATTTTAACTTAAGTATAAATCATCAAAAGAGTAAATTCGTTTACTGAATTTCAATAAAAAAATGTAAAATCAACATTTTATTTACATCAACATATTCTTAAAAATAATGATGATAACTTTAATAAGGTTTAGATTTGTGCTTATTTCTTGTTTTAGATATTTTTTTAAGACCACATTTAACTTTTTCAGATGGCTCTCCCGGTTTCCAAACACTTATGTACCCACTTTCCCCCGCAGTACACAAAAGTTGAGTCTAAAATAAGTTAATCAATTTTTAAAATAATTTTTTTTTTAAAATTAGACTATTAAAAAAAAACTTACATAAAATAAAATTAAAAAACAAACCTCTGGATTATAAGTGCTGGTTCTAACTATTTGACGATTACCAATAAATTCTGTTGCATAAACTTTATTTTCTTCAATTTCCAGCATTTTTAAACATTCGCTAAAAATTAATAAAACTTACAATTGCACTTAGTCGATTAAATTTTAATAACTAAACTAACAAAAGATAGCAATAAAAATAAATAAAAATTTTTTTTAACAAACCCTTTTCCTGTTGAAGACCCAGCCAAAACAAACAAATTGTCATTTGATTTCTGATGAACATCGATAACATATGTATCATCAGAATTGGTTGATTTTAATACTTCTCCAAGCTTTTCTCTAGATAAAGAAATGTCTGGTCTACCTTCCTCTATATTCCAAAGCTGTACAACTTCAGTGTGAGTTATACAGCTTAAGTAATTATTTTTATGCCACCTCACCTTAGCCACAGATGATTCAGTATTTAAACTGTGTTTCAATGCTTCATCTTCATCATTTTGACTGATATCAAATGTATTTATTAGCCCATCTACTGAGCTTGATGCAATAAAATTAGCTTTTTCTGGATGAAATGATACCTAAATAATGTCAATTGAAATGTAATAACCATCTTTTCCGATTATATAAATTTTAAAATAATTTAATTAATTTTACTTGAGTAAGATCATCAGTATGAGATTCCCAATATCCTCCTAAAAGTTTTCTCGACCTGATATCCCAAAATAGTATGAATGCATCACCATCATAAAGTTCTGATCCTGCACAAATTAATTTATCATCAAAAGAAACATCAAAACATGACAAAGGTTTAATCCCATTATCATCTTTAAGTTCTTTTACACAATTTTGTCTTCTGAGGTCCCATATTCTTATTTTTCCATCTAATGAACCAGTATAAACCATATTCTCAGATTTCGGACTAAACCTAACATTGTTAACTGACTTTTCATGACCTTTTAAAGAAGAAATCAGAGAAAATTGTGTATTGGACAGATTATACACTGAACAAGACTTATTAGATAGAGCAACAGCAAACCTTAGTGTACAATCAGACGATCTAAAAGCAAAAAAAAAAAAAAGATTAGGCATAAGAAAATTTTTTTAAAATTCATATGTAAACAATTATCTGCGCACGTTTCCATAGCCATATCAGTTATGTAAGTTTTTTCTAAACCTACAGCTTGTTCCACAGCAATATGGTATGAATAATCGGTTGTGCTTGACCCTTTAAAATCACTAAAAACATTTTTTGATCCGGGACTGCTATTTAAATTTAATAGCTCTAATTTATCTGGAATAAAAAAAAAAAAATATTATGCTAAAATTTGAAACTATTTAAAAACATTACAGTGTAATATTACGAGAAAAAAAATTTAACCTAACTCACTTGGATCTTCAACCATTTTTCTTGTATCTTCTTTCTTAAAAATTAAATATTAAGAAGCAGAAAAAATATTTACTTTTTAAAGCAATACATTTGCATAAAGTTTTCAACTTTTTTTACTTATATCTAAACCAATAATTGCAACAATGTTCTAGTGCCACGACTTTTTACGTTCTTTTTAACTGAAAAAATGTCGTTTGAATTCTATTAGTGGTCTTAAAATTTTTAAATTAAAGGATTATAAAAGTCGTTTATAACGTAAGTAAGTTTTAAATTAATTTCAAAAACTAATTGAAACTTTTTCGTAAAATATCTTATCATTTCTTATATTTTAAATAATTTAAATTAAGTACTTTATAAATGAAATTTCATATATGAGAACACACGAATGTGTCGAATAATAATAATAATAATTATAAAAATCATGAATTATGTTAACTGATTTTTAGAAAAAAAAAAATAGACGATTTATACTAAAATAATGTAAAATATTAAGTTTGTATTACTTTAAACCCGTTTGATAAAATTATATCACTTAAAGTTTAATTCAGTTGTAATTTAAACTTAAAAATTTCTATTTAACGAAAAGTTTATACAACTAAATGAGACATTATTTTTCATGAATTTTCACTAAGTAAAAATTTATAAAAAGAAATTACACAACAAAAGAGTAAAAACAAAAAAATAATTTTAAAATGTAACGAATGAGTAAAGTTTACGGATATTTTTTAAATAAGTTAAAGACGAGTAATATTTCTATTATTTAAAATATTTATTGTCATCTAATTGGAAGATCTGAAAAATTTACAAATTGAGAATAATAATAATAATAATAATAATAATAATAATAATAATAAAATTATTAATATTTGAGATACATTAACACAGTTTTTGTAAAACGTATAAAATACAAAAAAATTTTATCATTTAATATTAAATTACAATATAAAATCTTTTAATACTATTTTATTATTATTTTTTTTTGATAACATAATAATAATAATAATAATAATAGTTGGTATTTTTATATTTTACAAAATTTTTTTTCAAGCTTTTCTTATTTTATTTTAAATGGGTTACAAATAATGAAGTTAAAGAATAAAACAATCTACTGATAATTATTTTAATAATATGTATTTTAATAATATGTTTCATTTAAATTATTAAATTGTTTGTATTTTACTCTGATTTGAGAATGAAAAAAAATTAATTGTTTATAATAACAATTTAAGTAATAAATATTTATGAAATAATTTTTATTTCACAGCAAATGAAAAAATTATTTTTTTTTAAATTTTATAATTAAAAAGGCATTAAAATTTGTGTTCACTTAACTGTCAATTAACAAAAAAATAACAAAACCATTATCAAATTTATTTTAATTAAATAAAACCTAATAATACATTATTATTATTATTATTATTGTCAAAATTTCAATCATACAAAAACAAAAAAAAATTTGTGCAAAAGTCTGTTTTATAAATAATTTTTTTTTTTATTTTTTCGTATACTAATAATAAAAATTTGACTTTGATAAAATTGTTTGTAATAAACAAACGACAAACAAATCTAAATATTGTACATATTATACAACATACTAATAAATGCCATTAATCATTTCAATTTTATTATTAATACTATTTTATCATATAATTTTTTTAAAACAAATTTCAAGTTTATAAAAAAAAAAAAAAAACATAAATTCTTTATTTTAAATTTTTATGATTGTTATCGCATTCATAAAAAAAAAATCAAAATAATTTAAAACCAATAATGTTTTTTTAATTATTTAAAATTTAATTTTTATTTATTTATTTATGTTCGTAAAACCTAAAAAATTTTTTTTTTATAATTAATAATTAGTATAGTTATATAAATAATTTAATTTTTATAA